ATTTACGCCATAACATAGTAACGACAATTCAAACTTTATATATATAGATGATTAGTTTTTGCAACATGAATCTAGCTAGTGGTGTTGGGGGTGGTTCAAATTGTAAATATTTTATGGGAAGAAAAATCTTTCTTAGTTATGTACATCACCAATTGCAGATCCTCCACAGATATCTTCAAGGTGTTTTATCTTTTCAAGAGTAATAAGATTGTACGGATAAGCAATGTACCGAGTCAGAGAAGCCATAACACAACGATGAGTATTTTCAGCACGATCATTTGCAGCCTCATCTGGGGTTCGGGACGATGGTGAATCTCTTGCGAATGTTAAACAAAGGCAAAAGAATAACCAACACAAACACCATAGTTATGTGGGGTGTTTTACCAATATACGGGAAAGGGGGAGATTGGTTGCCCAAATACGGGGATTTATCTAGGTTTTACCAAATAGGGGGAGTCGGAACACCCAATTCCGACTACAAGAGGGTTTCAAAAAAAAAAGACCTAACCTCCTGTCGGATTAGTGAATTCCGACTAGGGTTTTTTTTTTGTTTTTTTGGTAAATTTTTTATTTTAATTCGTAATTCGTAAATTTTTTTATTTTAAGTTTTAAAAACTAAAAGTTTTAAATTCTAGGGCTAAATTCTATCCATTCCAAATTTTAAAGTTTTTTAAGATTCATGACATATTTTTTAAAATGAAAACTTAGCATTTTCATTTTTTGAGTAACAAAACATTTGATTGCTTTATATTATTTTTTAATTTAAAGTTTTTAATTTCCAACTAAAGTTTTAAACTAAATTGGCCAATTTCATTCATGTTTAAATTTTTAAATTGGTCGAATTTCTCTTTTTTTAATTAGTCGCCAATTTAATTTTTAAATTGGCCTAAAGTTATAGTTTTTAATTTTATTTTTTTAAATCCATTTGTATTGTGAATAAAATTCATAAAATGAGATACAAATTTGAATTTGTTTTAAATGCGATTTGTAAATTTAATGAAAGTGAACAAAACAAATGTAGGTTTCAATGTAATTTATTAATAAATAGATAGTACATACAATAATATAAATTTAATGATACTACATCTAACGTTGCGTGCTCGGCCCTGCTCCGTCCCCACCGCTAGTGTTCCAAGGCCCCATTGTGTCTCCATAGTAAAACGACGACGAATCCAGAAATGAATCAACATAATCAACCGCTTGTGTGGAGTACTGATAAGAATCATAATACGGCGGTGGTTGATCAAATGAGACACCTTGATGCGTTGAGAATTGAGGGGGTGGTTGATCAAATGAGACACCCTCACGTGTTGAAAATTGAGGGGGCGATTGTGAGTGCTCACCCCCACCTTCATGTTCATCTGCATCATCCTCTTCGTCACTTCCACTTTCATCTTCATCTTCATCTTCATAATGGAATATGCCCCGGCGGAGCATCTCTTCATCACCTACGTCCAGGGCCATCCGCTGTAGTCGTTTTTGACAGTCCTCATGACTTGCGCGGTCGGCTAAGAGCTGATTCAGCTCGTAAAAGCCCTGCCTCTGCATAAAAATGTAACACGTGTAAATAATATGACATGATATATGTTAATGAATATAGTATGTATTCAAAAACTTACCACAATACCCCAATCGTGTGATGTCGGGATGTAGCCTGTCGTGGGCACATTGTGAGAAGGGTTCTGGACACGTGTCATACCATGCTTCTGGTACCATTTTCGGTACCTCTTAGTTGCTTCGACGGACATATGTCGATCATAATCAAGAAAGTATATATTATGTTGTATGTCCGCCCACAACGCCAAGGCACCGGTTACTATGTTGGAACGATTGCCGTGATGATCAATACCCGCCAAAGGAGCATCCGGAGTATCTTGCCTTATATGGAACTGCCGAAGAAATCGATCGGGGTAATGCATTTCGGCCATATTGCAAAATATGAGCATGACCCTAGCCGACCAAAGCGGAGCGTCATTAAGGATGATAGGTGGGAGTTCCTCGGACGCGTAGGGAGTGAAATCAAACTGTAAAAATTTTAATTTGCAATTTAACCACTATAAAACAATGTGTATTAAAAATTGAATAGTACGGTGGAAGTAAAAATTTGAAGTACTACCTGACTCTCACTCATTCGGTCTAGGTCATCCCGGTACAGGCGTATGCAGTGTCTTGGGGATCCCTTATATGACTTGGGCACGATCCACCTACATTTATTTATTACCGAAATGAATTTAAGAACTCTAACGTCATATAACGCATTCTCAATTATTAAGATGTAATTGCCAACATACCTGCATCCATATGGAAGATGGTCATGTTGAATGACCTGAACTACTGAGGGACGGACCATCGAAATCCTCGACCAAGCCCAAATCTGTAACAAGTGCATACAACCGCCAACTTGTTTAGTTTCCCACTTGGCGCCGTTGCACAAGTTATGGTAGAGGTACCCGAGAACCGCTGATCCCCAACTCCATCGACGGGCTAAAGCCAAGTCACCCTGCAAGACCTCCAAAAAGTATAATCGTATTCTTGTCCCACTCGTGTCAGGGAACAAAAGGCCTCCAAGCAATTGCCATATTAGGGTTCTGGTGTGTTCGGTGACCTCTTCGTCTGTACTGTCAGGTAGGATCTGGTGACGGGTAAGAGCAGTCATGGTGATATCACCCGTGCGCATATCAGTCTCTAGAGGAGTGAAACCACACGACTGCGTGCACAGGTCGATCCACTGAGCCTTACCCTTAACGGTTGGACCACTGAGGGGCATACCCCGAATGGGCAAACCAAGGATCATCGCCACATCTTGTAGACTAATGCCGACCTCACCGAATGGAAGATGGAAAGTATGTGTCTCCGGCCTCCATCTCTCCACCAAAGCGCATATTAAACTATGATCCACCTTCATACGGGCAATGTGCTCTACCCCCAAGAAGCCAGCATATGCTAACATACCTATCACTCTTGGATCTCGCTCTTCAACTCCGAATGCAGCTGAAGGGCAACTGACGCATTTCAAGCACGAGTCTTTGGAATTCGGTTCATACCATATACGGTCCGCACGATGGGCACGCAGTGGCAACGTGAGTAGTGAACGGTTAACAGACCCTGGGCGCAGAATGTTTTGCTCCATTTGAAATTCCTAAAATAAGTAGTTATAAATTACTAAATTCGAAATTTAACACAAATTCTAAATGTAACACAATTTTTAAATTTGTAGATATTTATAGCTAAATTGAACTCTAAAATTCTAATTTCACAACCTAACACAAAAAAATAAAAAATTACTAAAGTAACAACTTGTAACGTCATAAAATCGAATTTTAACTCAAATTCTAAATGTAACACAATTTCTAAATTTCTAGATTTTTATAGCTAAGTACAACTCTAAACTTCCGATTTCACAATGTAGAGTAAAATTCTAAATTCACAATCTAAATTAAAATCTTAAAAGTTACCAAAATAACTAGTAATTTTGAAATTCGAAATAACTATAATTGCGAAATTAAAATCTTAAATTCGACTATTTAAATTAAAGAGTAAAATTTGAATTTCACAATGTAAATTAAAAAATTTACAAATTACTAAATTAACTACTTCTACACTCCTAAAACCGAAATTTAAGGGAAATTCTAAATGTTACACACTTTCTAACTTTCAAGTATTTTATAGCTAAATGTTACTCTAAAAGTCCAATTTCACAATCTAAATTAAAAAATTTACAAATTACTAAATTAACTACTTCTACATTCCTAAAACCGAAATTTAAGGGAAATTCTAAATGTTACACACTTTCTAACTTTCAAGTATTTTATAGCTAAATGTTACTCTAAAAGTCCAATTTCACAATCTAAATTAAAAAATTTATAAATTACTAAATTAACTACTTCTACACTTTTAAAACCGAAAATTAACTAACCTGGAAATTTGGCAGATCACAAATTTTGATTTGCTAGTAGGTGCTCTTGCTTGGGATTAAGTGGTGATTCTTGATCCAACTGGCTAGGCTCTTGCTCTATTTATATAAAAACAAATTGGTTGGGAGTTCTTGATCCATTAAATAAAAGTTGGTGTTGTAATTAGTGGTCCACACTTCTTCCACAAAGAAATAAAGTTCTTGGTCCGTGTGATAGTACCTAACTTTTATCTAAAAGTGGTCCAAACTGCTTCCACATTTACCTTTTTCCTTGTACCGTGTAGCTAACTTTATCAGCTAAAACAATTTTTTAAAATTTTTATTGCTGTCGGAAGCCCCAAATCCGACTGGAGGTATCAGTTTACCGCCGTCCGATTACGATCCAAGCCCCTCCTCTCTTTTGATAACAGCCGTGCGATAGGGATCCGAGCCCTTATTGTGTTTCTTTGGTGGTTTAGAGTTTATTTTTTGTACAAATGTGGAATAAATATGGAATTATCTAATTTTGATCTGATTGAACTTATCTGATTATATTTATCTGATTAAATTTTATCTAATTGAACTTATCTGATTATATTTATCTCATTAAATTTTATCTGATTGAACTCATCTGATTATTTATATATGATTACATTTTATGTAATTAAATTTATCTGATTATATTTATCTGATTAAATTTTATTTGATTGAACTTATCTGATTATAGTTATCTGATTAAACTTTATCTAATTATAGTACATTAGTACGTACTGGTTAGCTTTTTTAATATGTTATTAAATGAATTTTTTTTATCATCATTACTAAATGAATTAATTAAAGAATTTTGGAAAACTATGGATCTAGGACCCGAATGATCGAAAACAATCAATTTAGGAACTAAGTTTTCATAAATTTTATTACTATTATTATTTTAAAAAAATTTAAATAAAATTTGCGAAGTATAATTACCGCCCATGTCTTGATCCTGACTCCATTTGTAGTGCGAGTGAGGTTTGATCAGATAAGCAATGTGGAATAAATATGGAATTATCTAATTTTGATCTGATTGAACTTATCTGATTATAGTTATCTGATTAAACTTTATCTAATTATAGTTGTTGTGCAAACTAAAAAAATTCAATAACTACAACAAAGAGAACAAATATTTCATTAGTTCAAAAAACCCAACAAGGTATACATTACAATATTACTCATGTCCTCTCCTTGTAGAACGCAAATCCATTTCATTAGGAAATCGAGTTCTCTGTGGCCTACCGGCTCTAGCCGATCTATTGTTTGGGGGCGGGAGAAGTGTATGCGATGTTTCTGCCATGACATTGAGATAATTATTAATAGGCATAATATCGGAAGCGTACGTTCGGATGTAATCATTTAAGGAATACACAGCTGGGATGAGGCTGTCTACGGTTATTTTTAAAAACCGACAAATCGCATACGCGTGAACACATGGCATCCCGTTCTGCTTCCAATACTCACACCCACATTCCTGCCTTGTCAGATCGATTGTCACTGGATCATGCGAACCAATAGCTACAGAGTAAATTCCCGTTGTTCGATTGTGCGAGACAATAGTTGTGTGATACCTACGCTGTGACCGCTCAAGAACATCCTTCCATATGTTCTGTGGATACAAGAATCCAGCTTGGTGCCACATTATTCCCGCATTTCGTCGATCGGCAAATAGTTGGACGACTTTATCGAATGTGGCCTTTACTAGTGCTGTGATAGGCAATGTGCGGCATCGCTTTAAGACATTGTTAAAACTTTCAGAAAGGTTTGTCGTCAAAATGCCATATCTTTTGCCATCGTCATAGCTCAGGGCCCACATCTCAACAGGAATCTCATTCAAATATAGAAAAGCACTCTCATTTATGTCTCGTATTTGTTGCATACAGTCGTGAAATTCCTGTTCTGTGGGAGTGCTACCAGCTTGCCAACATAATTTTTTCAGTTCCGCGTTCCTAAACTTGGTCATGAAATTACTCCGTATGTGACGGAGGCAATAATGCTTTGAAACTTGTGGCGATCTCAACTCTCGCAAGGCTCTAAATGCACTTTCAATTCCTGCATGACGATCAGAGATAATGCACACACTACGGTGATTTCCAACCACATCACGCATAACCCTTGCAAAGAACCACGACCAGCTGTCAGCATTCTCACTCTCAACAACAGCATATGCAAGAGGAAATATCTCACGGTTAGCATTCATGGCTACCGCAACTAGAAGAACTCCCTTGTATTTGCCATATAAGTGAGTGCCATCAACCGAGACTACGGGTAAGCAAAATCTAAAACCGTCTATAGAAGCCTTGAATGACCAGAACACTCGGCGGAATTCAGACGTATCAGGAGTGCCGGCCTGTTGTGATTGCAAATGAACAACAGTCCCCGGATTTGAAAACTGTATAGATTCCAACAACATAGGAAGTTCATTATATGATGCCTCCCAATTGCCGAATTTACGCTCCAGAGCGATCAAGCGTCCATTCCAAGCTTTTTTATATGAAACACGGATATTAAATTTTTCATATATGTCTGACATTATCAGTTTAATGCTGTAGTCCGGGTCGACTTTCACTTTTGGAGCGATTTCACTGGCTATAATTTTGGCCGTTAGGAGCCTGTCATCCCGAGCCATGACAGGATCCTCCCTACAACTGTGATGGGGTTGATATTTTTTTACTTTCCACTTTTTTGACGTCATACCTTCTCCTGCTTGGATATGCCAAGTGCAAAGGGTCGGGTCTATGCAAACCGCCTTCCAGGACCGTGGCCTTTTGTCAACCGTTCTGAATTGACGAAATTGACGAATGTTTTCTCTCGCCACCGCTTCTTTCAGTGTATCATATGAACAGTAAACTGCGCCTACTTCGATCCTTTCAGGCTCAGAATCTAATGCTTGAACATATGGTTCTTCTAGCTCCACATTAGCCCAGGTGGTGTCTACTACGTCGTCACTATCATCGCTCGTGGATGAATCGACATCACTACTAAAACCTTGTTCATAGTCTGGGTCGTCCGACTCTTCACCCAAGTTTGTGACTGTACAAAGTAGATACATTCATAAATTTCAATATTATTATTTGGGACAAATTATTAATTTAACACAATTCTTGAATTTCTAGAATTGAACACAATTCCTTGTAACACACTATCTAAAATAAAATAAAATTATGGTTTGAATTTTTTGGTTTTAATTTATCGGAATATATAAAATTTTTAAGTTATTTGAAGTATAAAATCTTTTTGTGCTCTGGTCGGATTTGTGTGTTCCGACAGGAGTTTTGAAATTTTATGCGCTGTATGCAAATTTTAAGTTTATTTGAATAATAAAAACTTTTTGTGCTCTCGTCGGATTTGGGTGTTCCGACAGAAGATAAAATTTTAAATTTTTTTAAAATTCCACTTCCACTTCCGGTTATTTCATTTATTTGAACTAGAATGTGTTTCTTGTGTAATTAGATAGAAGTATTGAATTTGTGCAGATGAGACAGACACATAGCCAATTTTTACTCTGAAATTCCTATTTAACAATCAAAATTAAAAAAATTACAAATTACTAAATTAACTACTTCCACACTCTCAAATAAAATTTTTAAGTTATTTGAAGTATAAAATCTTTTTGTGCTCTGGTCGGATTTGGGTGTTCCGACAGGAGTTTTGAAATTTTATGCGCTGTATACAAATTTTAAGTTTATTTGAATAATAAAAACTTTTTGTGCTCTCGTCGGATTTGGGTGTTCCGACAGGAGATAAAATTTTAAATTTTTTTAAAATTCCACTTCCACTTCCGGTTATTTCATTTATTTGAACTAGAATGTGTTTCTTGTGTAATTAGATAGAAGTATTGAATTTGTGCAGATGAGACAGACAGATAGCCAATTTTTACTCTGAAATTCCTATTTAACAATCAAAATTAAAAAATTTACAAATTACTAAATTAACTACTTCTACACTCTTAAAATGACAACAAATAAAACCAAATCATTGTAAATTCTATTTAACTTGAACAACACATACCAGGAGATTCGTAGTTCTGAAACGTTTGGCCGTTGTTCCTCCGACCATATACGGATGATGGGCCTTCCTCTCTGGGAGTTCCGTGGAACGTCAAAGTTTGTGGCGGGGTCGCTGAAGCTTCCACGTAAATGTGCAACTCCTCATACTCATTTTTAGCTATCCGGAAAAAATGACGCCATGTCTGCTCATCGTGAATGGGCCATAGTCTAGAAGCAACATATACAGAATTCTTATATTTTGGCAATTTTCCGTAAATTAATTTAATTTCGGAAAATCCGTCGCCTCTAACATGATTTAGAACATTCTCATGTATAGTAGTATAATCATCTGCTTCACTAATGAATAGTACCGCCCTAGGAGGTATGGAGTACTCTATTTCATCATCTTTTTGAGATGTAGAGCCATTCCAATGAACCATAACAACAATATTTCCCTCACTAGACATTTTTATATGAGAGAAGAATGCCTAAACAGAAAATGTAATAGATATATCAAGAGAGAAAGATGGATTATTTTTGGAGTGAAAATTTTGAAAAGAAATGAACTCATTTTATAGGAGCTGTTGGGGTACGTACGGTGACCATATAAATGCAGTTGGTAGAATAAATGAATACAGATAAAACACGTAGTGCGAAAATAAAACGAGTTGGTTGGTAAAATGTTCGAACCACAATTAAACACGTCATTTTTTTTAAAAAATATCAAAATACCCTAGTCGGATTTCCCAATTCCGACTAGGTTTTTAATAAATTTTATCCTCTTTAACCCATTGTTTTACACTCGGTAACCAATCTTTGTTCCAAAAGGTGGAATCTCCCACCCCAGGAGCCTCCCCACCCTGACCCGACAGGATGGTGGGGAGGTTAGTCACGGTGACTCAGTCAGCAGAATGACAGTAGGCCTATACATCCGTGCGCACCAGAGGCCCAGCCCAGCCTTATTTCAGGTTCTGTGACCTCCACCTGGTCGCTGCGGGGATTCGAACCTTGCTCCATTGTTCCAAATCTCCCACCACTCGACCAACAGAGCTACCCGTGCGGGTCTCGGTAACCAATCTTTAATTTATGAGACTGGCATCTTGTGCAATTATATAATTAAAGTGGTTTTTATACTTTTTCCAATATTTAATAGTTTTAACATTGAAATTTTTGCATTAATCACATACCTTATCTTGATCATGATTTTCTACTAAAAATACTTTGTAATATCTTATCATTATTTATAAAATATTATTATATATATACTAATGTGAATTTCTATAGTATTAACTTTTTCACAATGTTTTCTAATATGTAATTAAAAAATTTACAATCAAAATTGTACGTTGTCAAACGTGATGGTCGAACTATATTGACCTAAACTTTTTAGTATATTTCAAATTTGAATGACAATATTTATTTAATGATTGGAACATAACAAGGTGAAATTTGTAAATTGCTATTGTACCTTATACTCCCTAGTAAAGAAAGTTTGTATAGATCATCACCCATATATTTAATAAAAACTGCTATCGTTTTTATAGAATATCACTCATTTTGAGGTATCCCATTCTCACACTCCCAATTGTGCGGCCCAAATAGGGCAATACGTTTAAGTGGGATAACTCATTTAAATGTGGCATCATTTAAATCACATAAAGTGTGAGGTAAAAATGAGGTACTCCAAAATGGGGTATCTATAGCACAACTCATATTTAATTCCAATATTCTTTCGCCTTTAAATATCTGAATCCAACTTTATTTAATTTCGCAATTTATTTCATGTAGGGTCATATATTCAAAATTAAATAGCATACTATATCAATTGAGATGGACCAAACACATACTCCCTCCGTGGCTCCGTCCCAATTTTTTTTTGCAAAATTTCCTTATTGGTAAAGAAATATCATTATAGTGACAAGTTTTCCCTTGCTCCTACCTTCCCACTCGCCTTCCCACTCGCCTTCCCACCCTTCTCTCTCTTATCACTATCCCATCACTTTCACTGTACCCACCATCTCTCCCCCCATTTTCTCAATCGAAACAACAGTCTCTAAAATGGGCTCTTTCAAGTTTTCAAGGCCAGATTCTTTTCACTTTTCAAGATGAAGACGGACAAAAGAAGGGGGTAGGGCTGAGCACGAACATGGGAATTCTCTTTCCGTACCGAAGAACTGTCCCGAACCATTTCAGAATTGATAGAACCGGAAAAGTGTAATACCGTACCGTACCGTACCGAGCTTTTTTAATAATATGGTACGGTACCGGTTCTTAGTGAAAACCGTACCGTAACCGTCCCGGAACCGTACCAAACCGGACAGTCTCGTACCGTCCCGAATTGTCCCGAAAACTAGTGTTATAATATAATAATATATTATATATATAATATAATAATATGTATAATATATTATATACCGAGTATAATTGTCCGTATATTACTCTTACATCTTCTTTGGGCCCAAGATGCTGAAGTTGTTGAGCCCCTGATGCCAAGGCTTAATATTGATTGTTGACAGAAATCGCCCCGAGGTCCTAATGGATGATGCCATTGCCTAGAATTCTGGCAGTTTTAGTCTAGCTCAAATATGGATTATTAAGTTGATTATTTTTGTCATGTGATGTGATACTTTTTTCTTTTTCAGTTTGACGATCACTTTTGCATTTTAGTTTGGATGTTACTTTTCTTTAATATAGTTTGACTATTAGTTTCATATTTTAGTTTGATCACACAATATCAGTTTAATATAATCTTGCAAGTTCTTCCCTTCAATTTTTGTAGAGTTATTTATAAATGTTAAAATCTAAAGTTTTTTATTTTTCATGGGGGTTATTTAGTTATTTAAGAACCGTACCGAACCGTACCGGACCGTACCAAAAATTGGTACAGAACGGGACATAATCTACATATACGCGGGACGGTACCAGTTCTTGATTTTTAAAAGAACCGTACTTTGGGACGGGACAGGTTTTTCGAAATAACTGTCCTGTACCGTCCCATGCTCACCCCTAGAAGGGGGCTTCATCTCGGTTCATCAGCTCCGGCTCAGGGAAGAATCAGCACCGGACCTCCCTTGCTTGGTCCATCAGCTCTGTCTCTGCCCTTCTCCTTCGCCACCGCGCCGCCGCGCCGCCTTCGGACAACCTCGCAAATCAGTCGTCGCCGCCGTCGTTGAACCAGATACTTGTCGAATCGTTTAAGCGACGGGAGAGGTTGCTGTCCGACAGAGACCAAACAGAAACATATGGGGACTCCTGATGTCCATTGGGTGTGTTGCAACATGTCCCAAGAACTTCGAGATTTTAAAGAATATGAGGGCTAATAATGTTCTTGTACCTTTTTTGTTTGAATATCTTGTTCATCATTTTTAAAAATTGGGCAGGGGCGAACTACTCTGTATTATCTTCCATTTTTGAAAACCAATTGGTTTTGTACTGATTCATCATTTCAGTAATTTGAATAGTACTCCGTATATATGTACGATTACTTGTTCGCACTTTTGCTTACTCTTAAATTTTAATATAAAGGGTAAAATGGTAAAGTTAACTTTTATCTCTACACTTCCTTAATTCCCGTGCCGGTCAAAATTTGCACCTCAAATCGGGACGGAGGGAGTATTTTTTATTTTACGCTTTGAATTATGTAATAAGCAAAATAAGTAAGGTTGTGGTTACTTTTTAGACTGCATTTGCTAAAGTTACTATATGGAAACATTTTAGCTATTTGTCATATAACTATTTCTTTGTTTCATGATAAGATATATTTTGAATTTAATTTTTTCATAAATGAACAGAATGAGTCAATCCACCCACTTCCACCAAAACTTTATGAATTTCAGTAAAATATGCTAATTCAGCCAATTTGAGTGTCTCCAAACAGACACTCATTGTAAATGAATTGAACAACAAAAAACAAAAGTCTAAGAATAGAGAATCCGAAAAAAGAGAAATTTGAAGGGAGCATGACTTGGAGGCAAGGTTGTTAAAATCATATTTTTGAATCGAATCTGTAGATGTTTTTGAAAATGAATCGTAAAATCGAATCTCAAATCGAAGATTTTATCCAACATATCTTAATAAGTATAAAATAAATAAATATTAATATTAAGTTGCAAGTTAATGGTATTATATCATTTCATTACATAAAACTATACCTACAAGGTCCAAAACATGACTTATAAACTATTTTAATAATGTAAATGTAGTGAATAATAACATTAAACATATGTGAAAAATAAAAATAATTAAATAACACAGGAATCCATTACTTTTTTTAACTATACTATTCATATTATTATTATTATTATTGTAATTATGTATCAATTTGTAGTATTTAATTTTAATACATCTGAATCAACTTATACCTAGTAAGAAATTTCCTCAAATTCTTTCATCAACTTAGTAAAATTTTGGAATAATTAGTTATACAAGAACAAATTGAAGTTTGTTAAATCCAGGCTAAACAACAACTTCAAAACAATCTTACTATCAAGAAAATCCATTAATTTTCCTAGAATCAACCCAAAGTTCACTCAACCCTAGTTAAATCCCAAAACAAGAACTATGGATCAAATATAAATGAATTCTTCATGTAAAATGTCAAAATCTTGCCAAGTGATGATCTTTGATGAAGAATATGTTTAATTTGAGTTTGAATCACCCTAGAAATGGTTTGAGATTGATTTGTAGAGAGAAGGACGAGCTGATATCGATTTTGGGTTGAAACGAGTGTTTTTTGCGCTTAAAAACGTTTTTGACCGACACAGCCAAAACCGACCGAACCGGCGCCGGTTTGACCCTGACCGGCGCCGGTTGCCCAGTCATTCCAGCACCCTAAAGTTTCTGTTTTGGACTGGCGCAGGTCCGGGTTCAACCGGCGCCGGTTTGAGGCCTATCGGGTGCCGAAAACGTCATTTTTCGTCCTAAACCGACCCCGATCATTGCCGATCCCATCCTAGACCCCCAATGACCTTTTAAAACTATATTTTAAACACCCAAATACTATCTAACATGAAAAATAACTTGATATACCATTACATTAAAAATTACAAATGATTATTACAGTGTTGTTTCGTTGCTCATAGTATACCGTCGCATGTCACGTTCAAACATAATACAAACATGTAAGTTGAAATATCATTATCACAAAGTTAATACTCACATGCTATCCCTACACTTCATACACATAGCACTCATACATAAGTTAAAACATGATCATATATAACATTAATTAATGCATAAGAAGTAGAAAAAGTACGGACGTTACATATATCCGGTCCGAGCACCCAACCTATCATTAAACAAAGACGCAAACCATGACAGAATTTATCATTATATGTAGTATTAAAGTTATTATTGTATGTATATATTTATTAATAAATTACATTGAAAAATACATTTGTTTAGTTCCTTTTCATTGAAATTACAAAAATTGCATTTTAAACAAAATCAAATTCGTATTTCATTTTATGAATTTAATTCACAATACTCATGGATTTCAAAATAAAATAAAGTGACAATATTACTTTTAAAATT